GAATTCTCAGACACTCAATATTATCAGAAAGAAATACCCAAACTTTTGATGAAAATTCAATAATTATTAGAGTTTGAAAAACTAGTGCTTTAGATCAGGTAAATGCATGTAAATTCAATATTAAGTTTTTCTAAAAAGTTGAAAATGCATGATATGAAGAAAAGCTCTATGAGTAGCATAGGAGGGAGAAAAGAAAAATGTGCTTTTGATTTATTAAGAAATATAGAGGAGAATGACATAAATAGAAAAAATATTTAAAGGAAAAATCAACAAGTGGAACCCCAAAATAAGATCCAAAAATATTTATCTACAACCAACACACGTGGTAAAATAAAAAATACAGTAAATACTTAAAATTTTAAAAATGTCTTACAGTAAAAGACGTATTATCATTACTACCTCTTAAAATTCTCCCTCTTGTGTAGAACAAATGGATCCCATCATTCCTGTCACTTTCTGAAACAGTTCTGGAAGTCCTTTGTCCTGAGTGTCTTTGATTGTGCTGTCCTGGCTGCCTTGATGTCCCGAGTCCACTCAACACGTTTTTCTTTCATGTCCGTTTAGGCTTTGGGGAAGAGCCAGAAGCTGCACAATGCCAGATCTGGTGAATAAAGTGGATGAGGACTCGCCATAACTTTTTATTTGATAGGAATTGCCATAAATCTTTGATCGGTTCAGGGTAATCAAAAGATACAGTGAATGTTTCAATTAAAAGTTTTATTACTGTAAAAGACACATTGCCATTCATCCCCATCACGATACCTCCCTTCCTTTCCCACACACTTACCCCATCACTCTCGCAATGTCTCTTTACTGTAAAGAGATTTTTTCAATTTGAACTTTCACCATATCTTTTGATCACCCTTTTTATATTTCTGAGAGCGTAAAGGCTAATTCTTTCATGCTACCGTAGTGAAAGTCAATTGTATGAAATCGAGTTCACACTTAATAAACCAGTTATAATTCCGGTATTTATTTTATAGTCTCTTGTGTATACTATCAGTGCTATGAATTCACAAGGTGAATTTTTCTCCCAAACAGGTGCTTCTTATGCTGACCACCCATTTTACATTTTAGAGTAATTTTGAAAACTTAGTTTTAAAAGTTGTAAGGTTAGATTAAGTTTAAAAAGTTGATAGGCTGGAGAGGTACCTTAGTGGGCAAGTGTATTCGTAGCGTGTGAGAGGCCCTGGATTCAACTCCCAGTGCCAAAAAGGGGTGGGGGTGCTGAAGTAGTCAAGACTCATTGGAGACATGTTGATATCTTACTCAATATGTGATGTGTATCTGTAAATTATCTACTTTTTAGTTATAGCTTCTGTTAGGAAAGAGGGGAGTTTCTTAAGTAATTGACCACTCACTCCAGCTTACCTGGTAGCGATCCGGTTTGCAACTATTGCACCAAGCTAAGTATTGCTGGTGCTACTTTTTAGCTCTCGTGGTGTTGTAGTTCGTGTGACAGTTTATATGGCCACTCTTTCCATGGCCCTCAATGGCAGGTGAGGATGGAGAACATTAGAAAAACCCACAGGGTGAGACTCCAACCTTAGTGCCTTGGTAAGTGGAAGGCTCCTCACCCTCCTCATGAGGGAGAAGATTGCTCGCCCTTCCAGGACCAAAGATCCAGGATCCGAGGATGTGCCTCAAAGTTCTTAACATTTCTGTAGGGCCTCTTTAGCCCCTCCGTCTTCAGATTACTGGGGCTCAGAAGCTCAGAAGGAGACTAATTTCTGCTGTGGCAGGTATTTTGGTAAAAGGATTATTTGCATCAAATGTGCTATTTTCCTCCTTTCCTCTTCTTCCATCTGTTCTTTCATCAAGAAAAATAAACGAGATCCAGTGAGCTCCTCCAGAATCACAGATAGTCCCACCAGCCCAGAGTTCTCCCAAATAATCCCAATGAGGACTGGCAAGAGCTAAATTTAACCCTTCAACCTCTGAACCCAGAAGAGTAGCTCTAGTAGCTGATTGGTTTCTATACTGGGTCCTAGGGAGTATGCTCCTAGAATTTTACATAAATTTGTGATTCAAATATATTTAAAATAGAAATAATGCTCCAAACAATAAATCTTCTCCTGGCCTCTTTGTTTAATTGGAAAGTGTTAGGAGACTGCAAGGCAAGCATTTAAAGTACTCACTTAATTTGCAAGAAATCTTTTGAGACTCTTTTGAGTATCAAAATTTTCTCAAGTTAATGTGGAATGCAAAGCCAAACTGAATATTGAATGTAATAGATTCTGTCACTCAAAATTTTTGGTATCAAGCACTCATATTAATATTAATTAATTCTATTCTCATTGTTGGAATTTTTAAAAATGTTATAAATTGGGGTTTTAAACAATACTTTATATGGCTGAAAAACATTACATAGATACTAATATCTTAACATTTCACTGAAAGAATGTTTCCACTCATTTAAAATATTTTAAAGCTGCTATTTTAGTACTGTTCCACATTTTGTGATTAGGTCATTAAATCCTAAGGTAGAATAGAAGCATACTGTAAGTAACAAAACCAGGAAGAAAACCTGTGCTTCCTCCATCTTCAGAGCAGACTATGGTAACCTTTTTCTTAACTATGAATTATAAAGTAGAATTATAAATCTATGCCTTTTGACAGTGTAGTTTTCAGTATATGAAAAACAGAACTGTTTGAATGTTTGATACTAGAATTAATATAGGATTTTTTGTGCCTTTCAAAAATATCTGAATTGACAACATCAAAAAAGGTATAAAAAAAGGGAGCAGAACCAATGCCAATGCATGAATGAATGCATGGAAAGAATGGATAAAAAGAATGTGGTATGTCATGTGCAACATAACAAAGTTTTGGTTACCAGTTGACCACATGTACGGGGGTGGTCCCATGAGACTGTGTCACATGATGACATTGTAGTCATCTTAGTTGAAGTACACTCCATGATGACTGCCTAGAAACACATTTCTCTAAATATGTCTCCACTGTCAAGTGATGCGTGACTGTAGATCGCTAGGGAGGATTATTGTTCAGCATGAAAAGCATGGAAGAGCTAATATATGCTACAACACCAAGGAGTCTAGAAAACATTCTAAGCAGAAAAGGCCACTCGCAAAAGACCACACATCACATGATTCCCTTGATGTGAAAGTATAGAGCAGGATGTTAATCTATATTATAAAGAAAATAGATTAGTGGTTGCTTAGGGCTGGAATAGACAGCTGAGGGGAAATGGAATAATAGCCAAAATGCGTAAGGTTTTGTTTTGTTTTGCTTTGTTTAAAATAAGAATGTTCTAGAATTGACCCTGTAATGATTTTACATTATCTATAAATATACTGAAAAACAGTGAATTGTGTGTTTTAAATAAGTGGTATCTATGATAGATGAATTACATCTCAATAAAACTATTACAAATATCTGAATTGTCATTAACACATTTCCTTATCTGTCTTAGTTACAAACCCCAGGCCTTATTAATCCTAAATAAAAATGTCTTGGTTTCCACCTACCATCCCAACACTCACAGTTGTGGTTGTTGATTAGGCAGAATCTGTAAAGACATTTGGAAGAGAAAGTGATGCTATCACTCTGATTCAAACACTGTACTATCTGGGTACATCTTAAATACAGCTATTATAGAGCTGGCAATTATCCCACTACAGCAGTTTCACAATTTATGTTCTTAAAAATCCTTTGTGATACACTTAAGTTTATCTTGGTTTAGCTTATGCATGTAAAATATTCCCTCTTTGGCACTATAGTAATGGTCACTTGATTAAATGGTAGGAAACATCAAAGAGGTTAAAAACTACAGAGAGAAAATTATAAAATCCAAGACTGTAATGTCTTAAGACTTGTCTTTTTATCAACTAAAGCAAATTTATAAAAACTTTCAGATGGGGAAAAGAACCAATGGAAATATGAAAAGTACTTCTTCCCTTTTAGGGGAACTTGTTAGGCTGTTGACAAAATTCAGTATTGAATCTAGGTAGCTTAATTTTATGCTGTCTGCTTTAAAACACCCATAATGGGTTGTTCCCTGTTAACGATGATGAGAGGTGCACTGTGTTTACTTAGCAAGTAAATCCAAAAATTAATTAGAATGTCAAAACATTGGCTTCGTTTTGGGAAAACTTAGATTGCTGGCTTTAATTCTTTTCCTTCTTTCTTTCCTTCTCTCTTCCTTCCTTCCTTCCTTCCTTCCATCTGTTTTGTGTTTGTTTTTACGCTGGGTTTCTTCCCAATTGTTCCTGAAGCAGTGCTCATGGAAGTGCCTAGCCCAGGATCAGAGGAATGTGAGAACCCATAATTGTCCATTAGATCTGAGTGCTTAGCCTTACTTAGCTGCTTACAAAATTAGGTTCATCTTGTATTTTTCTGTCTCTATACCAAGAGCATTGAGTACGAGAGCCAGCGAGGCAGTAAAACCTCTTTGCGTATAACCCTTATGCATCAGCAGCAGCGGGAAAGCACAGGTTTACTGCTGAGACAGTGGGCCTTGCTCAGGCACCGATCGGCTGTGTGCTGTGGCCTGTCTACGTTTTCTTCCCGCGCCTTTGCTTTCCTTACTTGTAAAATTATAAAATTAGACAAAGTTATTTTACCTTCCTAGCTCCAAAACCCTGAGATCAGCCAAATCCCGTGCACCCTGTGTGCACCACGCAGTGGGCCCAGGTGGCTCCCAGCACACACTGCATCTCCCTCGCTGGTGCCAGGGCGCACTTAGGGGCTTTGTCTTCCTAGTACCGTGGAAGCTGCACTGGCCCCACAGGGGACAGCGGCTGGTGGTGAACCTTTTTCTGTCATTGTCTGACCCATTAGGGCTGCTGTCTGTGAGGTGCCTTCTCAGTGCTAGGGGCTCCTGCTGAGGGCTGGCAGCGACGTGGGGGCGTTAGGGTCAGCTGGGGTGAAAGCACTCGCATTCTAGATCTGCTGATGGAACAGCCTGGTGGGTGAATGATTAACCCAAGGAGTAAATTATTTGGAGAGTGCGACTGAAAGGGGGCTCAGGGTTGGGTACAGAAGCTGCACAGCCAGAAAAACACGTCTGTGTGTTCATCATACACATATGCATGCTTGGCTTGTTCTGCAGTTGTAATTGCAGACACTTCGCTGCTGGATTGAATATTTTTATATTTTATATTTACACACACATAGCCATAACATATGTGTTTTTAAGCGTCTGTACATTAAATATTCATTTGCAAATGGGTTCAGCCGTATAGATCTGGGGGAAAAATAAGTCTTGGACAAGAAGAGAAGAAATGGGAAAGAATGAGGGGCAGAAAGGTGACCCCGGGCCGGAGCCTTGGCGCCCTACGGCTTGCAGGAGGGTCTGAGCCAGGGCTGTGAAGGTGCTGCCCAGGTCAGATAGAATCAGGAGAAGCAAGGGCTTCACCCGCGGCGGGCACTCCCCCTCGGGTTGTGACTGCACCTGCTGCATGTGACCAGCGGGCACCGAGGCAGCCGCAGCCACAGCTGTGACGAGGCAGCCTCAGCCTTGCCAGCTCCCGCCCGCTCCCACTGAGCAGGGGAGCGCGGCAGAGGAGGGGCGAGAGTCTCCGCAGCACCGCACTGCCAGGAGCCTCCCCAATGGGCTCTCTGCTGCTCTGACGCGTGACTCCCGGGGGAGCTGGAAGACAAGGAAGCCCACGGAGAGCATCAAAGGATGCGGGCGTTATGAGAAGAACAGGGCGGGCCTCGGCGATGGGATCCCTCCCGCACTGACATGCTTTCTGGACAAGATGCGGTGACTCTCCTCCTCCTTTCCTCAGATGAACAGAGCCAGCGAGGACTTCTCCTGAAGAGTTCCTGAGGGGCCTTTCTGTCATTGTTCCTCTTCCCGGCACACGGGGCTGTGTGCTGACCTTTCCAGAGGAATCTCAGTCCAGCTGAGGAGACAGTGCTTAATAAAACAAAACAAAACAAACAAGTCCTGCGGTCTGAATGGGTGGTGTCGCTTGCTGGCTGCAGTTCTGTGCCTGTGACATTTTTGGAATGTCTGCAGAAACTTAAGAAAGACTACCTTAAAATCTCCCTGGATTAGGCCAAAGAAAAAGAAGTTTTGTGCCAGAAAGGAGGAAAGGAGAGTTGGTGACTTATCCATAAGCCAGGATCTGACTACTCAATATCTTGGAGTTGTAGGAATCAGCATTAACCAAAATGAGGAGAGACTGCGGGGTTCCGCCCCGAGGCAGGGTGTAAAGCACCCGCAGCGGTTCAGAGCTCAGGGCCTGAATGATGCCTGAAGACCGGAACTCTGGGGGACGCCCCTCAGGTGCCCTAGCCCCAACCGCCTTCATCCCCAAAACTACCTACAGAAGAATCAAACGGTGTTTTAGTTTTCGAAAAGGTAGGTAGCTGTTAGAAGCATACCTGTATCTTGTCATGCTCTAGGGCTTGCTTATGCTCAGATGAACCAGAAGTTTGAAAATTTAAAACTATGCAAGAGGGATTGAGGTGTGTCTCTGGCATCTGAATATTTCTCAGGGTTGTATTGCTCTGTTTATTACTGTGAATGGGCAGAGTGGGTGGGGCTTAAGACACTGGTCTTCTAGCGATCATCTTGATGGACAGGGAATTGAGCAAGTTGGGCTGAATCTTGAAAGTAGGGGCCACGCCTCCCTGGGGCTCTTCCCAGACCCCTACCCAGCAGCAGCGTCCTGACCCCCTGGACAGGTCCACCACAAGTCCGTGCTATTGCTTTGGGTTTGGTTCCAGCTACCCATGCTAACCTCACCACTCCTGCGGAGACAGTTTTGAGAATCCAGTTATCTCTGGGACCCTGTGAGGAATACTTGCAGACATATTAACGTTGGCTAGAAAGAAGAATCCCCTTGACTGTCCAAACGCATCATGAAACGCCTTTGGGAAAGCACAGAGATAGGAACAGGGGGCGGGAAAGTACAATAACTTCTGACTAATAAAACAAACATTTCTGAATGGGCTTATTTTGAGGGAGTTAAAAGAAAGCCTAAGTAAAATGCAGTGTCGCCGGAAAATGTTTATGTATGAAAACATTTTAAAGTTTCCTTTTGCTCTAAAATGAAAATAAATGGAATGTCTGTATAAGTACAAACCAGGTAATTATAGTCTCAATGTCATGCACAGTAAGCCAATAATTTAGTCAAGGACAGAACTGAATGACATCTGAGGTTGTTCCCTTCTTCTTTTTTTCTTTGATCTGCCACCTTCTAGGTAACCTTCTCCACTTCGTAGCCAACAAAAGAATGAGAAAAAAAAAGTAAGAAAAATTAAATGAAAATTAAATGCACAAAATATAGGGAAATTTTTAATGATTCCTTCTGAGTCTTTTTCTTTGAAAAAGTTGCAATCTGGCTATGACCATGGTCACATGTTATCAGCCAGAAATTCAGGAATTAACTCACATTCTTATCTCATTCATGAAGGAAAGTTAAATGAGAAAATACATAGTTTTAATCTCATATTGTGTAGATCTTTGGGAAATTCATGGCTAGAGAAATGGAAAGTGACAGAAATTGAGAAAAGCACAAGGACTAATTGTTTAAAGGAAACTTCCCTTTCTTCTATTTCCCTGCCCTTTGGAAGTCAGAGGATTGTGTGTTGCTGGGTCACCTCTGAGAACAGAGCACCGCCCCTTTTACTATCTTACCTTGCCTGCTCCAATATGGGGTAAGGTGGATCTGTGAGGATTCCTGGAATAACAGCTGTTCCCCTGGACTCCTCCCTTCCTCCTTAACCCCAGGAGGGAAAGGCAGCTCTTGTTCCAAGAACTACCCCCTCCTCCATTCAAGGGGCCGCAGACACAGGGGGGCTCCCATCACTCAGCTCCTGGGGGTTCTCTGTCTTTCCTAAGCAAATCTTAGTATGGGGAATGTTCAGCATTTGAAGGAAGGATTAAGGGATGTTGCCTTTGCAAGGCTGAATTCTGCTTTCTGTCATGACCAGAAAAGGGAGGGGTTGCCCCTGCCTGGTCTTCTGCTGCAGGGTTGTGTGAGCACAAAGGGCCTGGGGGACCCAGCTGCCTAGCTGCTCCTCACTGCTGCCCTGCCTGCTCCCCAAGACCATGCCACCCTGAGAAGAGGGTAGATTTGGTGCGGGTTTGTTTTTTTTTGTTGTTGTTTTTGTTTTTGTTTTGGCTTTAGTTTTGGTTTTTTGAGACAGGGTCTCACTACGTAGTTGCGACTGACCTGGAACTCACTAGGTAGCCCAGGTTGGTCTCGAATTGGTGCATTTTTTAATCTCCTGGGTGATCAAGTATTTCTAGAAGTGGATCTGGTTTCCGAGCTCACCTGGCACTGGTGGAAGGTTGAAGTCATTTGAAGCTCCACAGCAAAGAGCACTTGTGAAACTACCAAGAGTGTCAAGAAGGGAAAAAACTGTGGACATAGTTGTTTTTCCTGATGTACTATATATTCGCACACACATTCAACAGAAAAAGAGACTCTAGTCTCCATGCTTCAGAAAAGCTGCCCAAAGGCATGTGGAATTGGTAAAAGTTCCTAGCAGCCTGTTGGGAGCAGAGCTTGTGTGCTGGGTAACCACCACTTGTTTTGCACAGTGCCTTTCTCTTCTAGACCTCTTCTGCCCTTTACTGCCCTTTTCATCTCTTTCTTTGTTCTGTTACTAATTAAGGTCACTGAAAATGTTTCCCAGTGGTTTTAGAAACCCAGAAACTAAGAAACATCTATTAGTCAGGAAGCTGGGGGTTGTGGTACTTCACATTTATGTTGTGGTAAGAAAAGATTACGATGTATTTTTTACTCTGTGGACTTCAAAACCATGTATTTTCATTAGAAGCATAACCTGTGCTTTGATTACCTGGAAATGTATACATATTGGTTCTTGAGCACTTGGTCTAACCAAAGTGGGCTAGGTTCCTTGACGTGTCCCAGGAAACAAAATTGTTCAACTCTGACTTTGCCTCGTTTTTCCCATGAATTTCTTTTTCTTGTGGAAATCACCATCCACTCCCCAGTGGCCTTTCACGCACTACACTATGCCCACTTAGTGGTCACGCATGGCTGCTTGTCCTTCCTTGCAGACCTTGGACCCATTTTTCTTCCCTTCACTCTGGTTGTCTGTGCCTTTATTACTTCCTGGGTGCAATTTCTCTTAAGTAGCGTCTGTGCAAGACCACATCCATCTTTACCCTGTCCACCACCAGAGTCCTTACACCCATAGTCCTCTTTGTAAAAGCTGAATACATTTTCCTAAAACATTCTGTCAAGCAATGTTCCACAGCTCAAGAAGGTATTATGAACTCCTGTGGCCCTCGGGGAGAAGTCTTCTTTCACATAATTATCAATGCATTTTAACCAATTCCACCTGCTATCTACTATACAAACTCCCCAGTTCCTTAGGTGAATCTACATGTTCTCCCTAAACACATGTCCTGCCTCACCTATCTGTCTCTGCTCAGTTTCTTCTGCTGTGATGCCTTCTCCTCCATTTCTCATCCAAATTTGCCTTTGAACAAGATTTCTTTGGCTCCCAGTTCCTCATCAAACCAGTAATGTTCTTAGTCTATGTCCCTTATGTTTTATTGAAGCTGTAACTTGGGCATTATATCCTTGTAGCCACCTTGAGTGAGTATACACATTCATAGACACACACACACACACACACACACACACACACACAATTTACTTCCTCCCAAAGTAAAGTTTAGCAGTAGGTTAATTCAATCAGGGTTTCAAGATCGATTGCAAATTGGTGAAGTACAATATTACTACCTATCATGTCCTCCTATTGCATAGGCCATAATGAGTGAAAATAGAACAGATTCATAGTAGTGGTAGATAATGCTAACATTCCCTTTAGAATGTACTGTTTATTGTTTATGTTGTAATCATATTTTCAAAATTAATTTTTCTAACAAAAGTTACTATAAATGAGTAGTTTATATATAAGTTTTTTGGATCCTCTATCAAGCCATTCTAGGATCTAGAGGGTAAACAGAACAGGCTGCCCAAAGTCCATAAAATCACAGATTCCTTGGGGCTAGTAAATAAGTAACAACCTGTTATAAACATCAAAGCAAATTTTGTACACAGTCCTGGATATCTATGAACAAAAGACCAACCATAAGCACATCTGAAAAGGCAGTGAGTTGCCCAAAGATTTTCTCCTGTATGATCCTAAAAGAATGGTCAGAATTATGTCTGAATTAAGGAAACATAATATAGTGGAGAAAAGATGGCATTAATATAATATACACCTGTATTTGTAACCCAGATCTGCTATTTCATAGATATATGGTCTCATACAGGTCACATAGCATCTTTGAGTCAAGTTTTCTGTATGTAGAGGAAAGGCTACCTTAAACAAGGTCTGTGAGCACTGAACAAAGAAAGGCATGTAAATTTCATGGCTTAGTATTTGGCTGTAAAGGGTTTCTGTCATTGATCCACTGGTTTAGGCATGGGTCACTGAACCAATGCGTTACCTTATAACAGTTGCTTCATATTCCTAAGCCTTTATCTTTCTCCTTCTTCCTGATTCTCATTGTAAAGTAGTCAAAGTTCTACTAAGCATTCCTGACTCGTTAGGACTCCTAGCTCCTTGAATAAAAGGGTTTGTAGTTATATACGATTTTTTGGCTATTTAGAAAGCTACTGATAGGTTGAAGTAAACTTTGGCAGGCTTTGCTTTTTAGCTTTGTGCTCAAATGGTATCTTTTATTTTTTTATTTGTCCATTTACCAAAGGCAAATGTTCACTGAAAACTCTTACAATTTTGGTGATGGCTGGATCTCTCCTTTTGGCAGAGTTGCAGTCATTAACAGGAAAAGCAAAGCCAGTTCCCCGTGTGGCTAAACATGAGACCTACAGGCAAGAAGAGGTGGAAAACTCTAAGCACAGATACCGCAGCATGTGGATTACAACTATATTTTTAAACTTCTGTCTTCTCACTAGGAGACCAAGTACTCCTCTGATCTTAGGTTTTTATGGAAATAAATATCATCACCTAAGAACTACCAAAGAGTTTCATTTTACAATGGAATGACTCATTTATTGTCTATCATCAGGGAGATTTTATTCTCACACATGCAGTTATTCTTCACATGCTTGCAGAGCACTCCTGACTCACCCATCTCGATACGCTGCTCCAGGGATGTAAAGCTGAGGGCTTCCCTGTGGCCTAACAGAGTACAGGTTGAGCATCTCAAATCGAAAAAAAGCCAAAATCCAAAATTGGAAACTTTTTGAGTGCTGACATGATGCCCCCATGTGAAAATCCAACACCATAAAAGTTTTTTTCATGAGTGAAATTATTTAAAATATGGCATAGAGTTACCCACAGGCTATGTGCATACGGTGCATAAAAGGTAAAAATGAATTTTATATTTAAGACTTAGGTGCTATTGCC